GTGGTTGTTTGTTATGTTTTTGTGTGTTTTTCTTGTGTTTTTATTTGCTTGAGTCGAGTATTTTTAGGTTTAGTTTGTGCGTTGCGGTCCATTTTGTGTTCGTTTTAGTAGCTTTCCGTTTTTTAGTTGTTTTTGTATATATCTCTATCTTCCTTGTGCGTTTTGGTGTTTTGTAGGCCCGGAAGGAAGAATCATTTCGTGATGTGCCGTCCAAGCCGACCGAGTCGATCGAGTCGCCCGAGTGGCCCGAGCCGTTATCGAGTCATTACCGTGCCGAAAGTCTAGTTCGCCTAGCGAACGTATTCGCCGCATAGCGAGTGTTCACAAGACTCATAGGGCCAGTCCGCATAGCGAATGAGTTCGCCGCCTAGCGAGTGTGCACAACTACAAGACCAGTTCGCCTAGCGAACTAGTTCGCTACCTAGCGAGTGCGAAATTTTTAAATGTGTGTGCACCTAGTGTGTGTTTTTGTAGAAGACTATAAATATGTTTTTTCCTTTGTATTTTGGGGATCCAACTTTCATTTTTCACTTTTCCCACTTTGGGAAATTAGCTTATGTTTTATTTTGCTCTCTAGATTAGGAGCTTATGTCATTTTTCGGGAGATTTTCCGGCGACTTCGGTTTCTTTCAAGTTTCGAGCTTTTGACTCCGTTTTTCATCGTCTACGCAATGGAAGAATGAATATTTAGTTTTAAAGCTCTTTACTTCGGTTTTTGCTCTGTTTTTACTTATAATGCTTATTAGGGTAAATTTGGATTTGATTGATGATGGAGGAAATGCTTATGCTTGATTGCTTGCTTGAGTAGATAGAGTCGTTAATTGCTCGTTGATCTCGGTTAGACGACTAGGGTTAGCAATCTAATGCTCGTAGCTCATTTATTCCGTATGTCGATTGATTATCATCCCGTTATGGTTATGGCATGAGACTCCGGTGATCTAGTTTGCTAATTGCTCGTCATTTGATCTTGCTTTTAATTAATTGCTCATTTTTAAGTGCTCGATTAGTGTTAATCAACCATCCAATCAATTGCTTAGAATGTTTAGGATTTTATTTTTTCCTTTTTGTGATTTGGACGATCATTTAGTAGATAAAGCTCCGAATAGCCTTCCTTCGAGATCGACCCGAGTCGGGTAACTCGGTTATCCCTTGCCCATCAAATTTATACTAAACAGTGGTATTTTATTCAGGATATGATTTGCTGTCAAAACAGCTTCCCCCCACATGTTCTGTGGTAATCCTGAATTAATCAACATGGCATTTATTATTTCTTTTAAAGTTCGGTTTTTGCGTTCAGCAACACCGTTCGACTGTGGAGAATAAGGGGCCGTCGTTTGATGAATTATGCTATATTCAAAACATATTTGTTCAAAAGGAGACACATACTCCCCACCCCTATCACTTCGGATTATTTTAATCCTTTTGCCGAGTTGATTTTCAACTTCGGTCTTATATATCTTAAACGCTTCCACAACCTCATCTTTTCTTCTTAACAAATATAAGTAGCAAAACCTTGTGCAATCATCGATAAAAGTTACAAAATACTTTTTACCGGTTCTTGTTTGCACACTTTTCATATCACATACATCAGTATGGATCAAGCCTAATGGTTCAGTACTCCTTTCCACCGAGTGGAAAGGTAACTTAGCCATTTTTGCTTCAATACAAATTTCACATTTTGTATTTGTCTCAACTTTAGAATTAGGAATTAATTCTAATTTCATCAACCGTTTAATTGCATTTAGATTTACATGTCCGAATCTAATATGCCACAAATCAGAGCACTCAACGGTATAAGCAGAAATAGGCTTTTTATTATCAACGGTTACACGGCTTATAGCCATTACATTCAATTTGAACAATCCCTTGTCGAGATAACCAAGACCAAGGAATTTTCCATATTTGCTAAGAATAAACTTCTTAGCTTCAAACACCAGCCTAAATCCATGCTCAACAAGAAGTGATCCGGAGACCAAATTCTTGCGGATGTCTGGGACATGCAGAACATCCTTCAGCTTCAACTCCCTTCCAGAAGTGAGCTTCAACACCACCGTGCCCACTCCAGCCACATCAAACGTAGAGGAGTTTCCCATGTGTAGTTTCTGACTCGTAGCAGGAGTGTATTCAGAGAACACCTCCTTGTCGGAACACACATGACGAGTGGCACCAGTATCGATGTACCACTCTCTTGGGTTATCAACCAAACTGGCTTCAAACACCACAACCGACATATCAAAGTCGGTCAATTCACCCGGCACAGGGCCGTGTTCAGCAAGAAGGGCACTCGGTTGCCCTTTGTTTGGCCCAACTTTCTTTGGCCTCTTGCAGTCTTTCGCCATATGGTTTGGCTTTCCACAGTTGTAACAAGTTCCAGTGAATTTCCAAACCTTGGCGGGCTGTTTTTCTTTGTTAAGGGGCTTCCTTTTGCTCGAATTTTCTTGCTCCAGCAAGTTCGCACGAGCCTCCATTATCGAGCTTTTGTCCGACGAATTACGGTTGTCCTCCTCAACACGAAGACGAACAACCAGGTCTTCAAGACTCATCTCCTTTCTCTTGTGTTTGAGATAGTTTTTGAAGTCCTTCCAGCCTGGCGGCAGCTTCTCGATTACAGCAGCTACTTGGAATGACTCGCTCAAAGTCATCCCTTCAGAATGTATATCGTGCAAAATCAGCTGGAACTCTTGCACTTGTGACACGACAGTCTTCGTGTCAACCATCTTGAAGTCGAGAAATTTGCCGACGACGAATTTCTTCGCCCCGGCTTCCTCCGTCTTGTACTTCTTCTCCAAGGCAGCCCAAAGTTCCTTGGCAGAACCAACAGAGCTGTACACATTGTACAACTCGTTACTAAGTCCATTCAGGACATAGTTCCGGCAAAGGTAGTCACCTTGCCCACAAGCATCGTACGCAGCGCGTAGTTCAACATTTGTCTCATTTTCAGAAATGACCGGAGGGTCGTCCTTCAGGTATTTCACCAAACCCAAAGTGGTCTGGTAAAAATGCATCTTCTGTTGCCATCTCTTAAAGTCAAGCCCGTTAAATTTTTCGGGCTTTTCAGCTGTAGGAACATGGACAACAAGTACATGATTGATCGGATGCTGAGAGCTAGAACCTGCTCCGATAGATGCCATCAGTTCAGTAGGATGACTAATATTCTTCTTGCGATTGTTGGATATTTTGTTGTGAAATTACACGAGAATCCTACGAACTGATATGTATTTTTTTCAGTTCTTACAAATAATCTAAAAATAGAAAATTACAATTAAACTGAAAAATAAATTACAACTGAAAAAACAGAAAGATTTTAGCCGAGGCGAGTAAAACTCTTTCCACAAGAAGAATACGCCCCGTGTGGCAGCTAACGGTTCAGGCGTAACTTCCACAAAGATACAACGACAAACGTCTCTAAATCTGTAGCACACTAGATTTACGAGCTCCGGCGAACGGGAACGGAATCGAGAATTGAGCACATAGTAATAAAAGAAATATTCTGAAACAAATAAAAATATCACCTGTTTTTTCTCTTTTGATATTTTTATATTCGTTATTTAGACATATATTTTTCTTTCTTTCCTTTCTCTTCCTTTCTTCTCTCTTTCTTTCAGAATTTTTGTACGCCTTTCTTCAATCTGGCCGAGGCTATTTATAGGTGCAATTTTGGATTCCTTCACATGCTTGATAATGCTTTTACAGCTCTCTCACTCCACATGCATGAAGATGCTTTTACAGCTTTCAGTAATAGCACATTCACATGGTTAAGATGCTTCCACATGTTCACATGTTAAAGTAGCATCAATAATTAAAAAGTTGGCTCAATTTACACTTAATAATTACATCATCACACTTCTAATGTTTACTATAATAACTCATTTTGATTCAATATTAATAAAAAAAAAAAAAAAAAAAAAAAAAAAAAAAAACTAACTAGACTTTATTGATACGAGTTATTGTACAACGTTCATGAAAAAATCATGCAAACATAATAGCTATAACATCAAGTGTTAAAAGTCTTAGTAACTTTGAAAAAATTCATTGTGAAAATCTTAAAAATTCTCTAATCAAGGGCGAATGCGTCTCCCTCCCAAAATCTCAGTTCCATCTCAAATCAAGGTACAAAGTTTTTTTTGTTTTATTTTCTAATTGCAGACCGGTAGTGAAGATGATGTATGTGTTGTGTGCATTGTGAGATGTTTATGCTGACTGAATTCGTTAATCATGTACGTATGTTTGTGAGAATTCTGTATGTAAGTATGTTCTATTTACTGATTCATCCAGTTGGGAATGCTTATGAATTCTTTTCTTTTTCTTTTTTTTCGAAATGCTTATGAATTCATAATCTTATGAATTCTAATCATGTATGCTTAGATTTGTACCAAAAAACAAATAATTCTGTTAATCGACCGAATAATCTGGTTCGGTTAATTTTCGGTTTTAAGCATACATTTTGGTCGGTTTGGTGTTTGACTTATAGCATTTCGGTTAATTCAGTTTTCGTCGTTCGGTTCGGTCGGTCGACCAAACCCACCAATGAATACCCCTATACCTAACAACAAGTTCGTCTTTAGTAGTTGTGCCAAAGAAAAAGAGTTCGTCTTTAATAGAAGTTAAGTGTCCTTTTTCATAGTTAATTAAATTAGAAAAAAAAAAAGCTTGTGTAAAACCTAAAATGTCTTTACTTGAAAAAATAAAGGAAATAACATTATAAACCTTTAATTAGTTTTACTTAAAAGGTATTTAATTATTTTTTTTCTTAACATAGAGCCTAAACTTAATTATATATCTCAAATAAACCACCGAATTTTCTTAAATTGCATTTCATTATATCTGTTTTAATCTTTTTCTTTTTCTTTTTTCCCTACCGATAGGGTTAAACTTCGGCCTGGCCGCCGGCTGCTGCTTGTGGCCGGAAAATTGAGAATCCACTTAAAAAACAAATAATCAAATACATATTGCCCTAAGACCAGTTGCTTTCTCCTTACATTCATTCAAGAAAATTGAACATGATGCTTACCTTGCGACCATTTTTCCCCACCTTTGAACCACTATCCTCGCCTTCATCTGGCCATTCCAACAAAACCCCACCTCCCGTATATGCTAAATTCCCGCTCTGCGTCCGCCATTCTACCGGACGACAGTCGCCCATCAGGCGAGCGAGGTGGACCAAGCATTTGTGTCTCCACACGGCAATGGACGGTTTTGAGGCTAATGACGACGGTGAAAGAGAAATGGAGGACGAGAATGATGTGTCGTGGCGTCGAGGTGACGAAGAAAAGGATTATGACAGAGACCCGGAGTTTGCCGACATTCTTGGCTCTTGTCTTGATGACCCGGATAAAGCTAGGTCCAAGGTAAGTTCATAATTTTATACTAGAAAAACCTTCCTTTTATATTTGACGGTATGAATTTCAATTTGGTTTTTCTGTTTACTGAACATTTTTCATTTTGGGTATCTTGGGGTTGTGGAAATTAGAAGATACTGGTTCTCGTGTTTATTTTGCTTTCCCTTTCTAAACGAGTAGGTATGTCATGTGGTTGGCCTTGTTTTGTTTTGGTAGATGGAGGAGAGGCTAAGAAAGAAGAGGAACAAGATATTGCACACGAAAACGGGATCTTCGAACCCAATGGTAGTGAAGTTTAACAAGTAAGTTTACGTTTGTTGCTGCATCATAAGTTGGACGGCAAGAACTAAGCTGACATGCATCATAAGTTTGAGTGAATATTGCTTCTCACTTTCATTAATTTTTTTCATGATGATTTTTTTGTTAATGACGAACTGAAATGGTTCATTTCTGTTGGGTCTCAGAACATGCATGTTCGAGCTATTGTGCTCGAGCATATTAAAATTGTTACATTCACCTTCGTGCTACCAGCGATGATATTATGCTAAAAGGTTATGGACCTGTCGTAGTTGACAAATTCATTTATGAAATATTTGTATCAATGTTGTCTTTGCATACTTTGACATTTTATTTTCAGGATTAGAATCTTGTATACTTGAGGTATCTTTTTACATCAGCTTGTAAAATAGTAGGAAATATGCAATTAGTGAGCCTTCTTATCTTCCGTTTGTGAGTTTAACGTGGGGGTTGGGGGGAGAATGCATTGCATTTGACTCTTATGCTGCTCCTTAAAACAAGCCCATTTCGGACAAGAACTGCCATAGTAAGGTTGCTCACTCTCAATTGATATGTTAAAACATTTGGTGGAATTAGGTGAGTATTTGCACTGCAGTTCCCTATCTATACTCTATATGAAGCGTTCTCTGAAAAATACGAAGGCAAAAGGTTATGCTGTGTCAGTTGTCGTTATAGCCTCTAGCCTCTGTTATATATTTGCTGTTCAACTTGCTTCCCACTTTTTGGTCCTCAATGTAGAATATGAGATTCCTCAAATTCATAGTATTGAGCAAGTACATTGTATCATGTTATGTTTTATTTTGGCATATTATGTCCTATGTATGAATTTTCTGAGAAGTGAGACGTTGCTATGGGCCTAAGGTTGGTGTAAGAATTTACTGTAAGATACTTCGATTGGCCATCACACTGAATTGCTTCTTTCTCCTCCATAGAATGGACATGTTCTGTTGAACTTTTTCTGTTTTCAATACCTAAGATTTGGGTATTTTCTTGGGTGTATTGCCTGAATCAATCATTTACTTGGATTCTGTTTTCAGATTTGATTTTACAAACTCATACGTATGGTTGGAGTTCTATAATGCCCCACTGGAGAAAGATGTTTCTTTGATATGTGATGTAAGCAACTTCAGCTTCAATTCTATTTACCTAAATGCTAGATTCTTAGTGTTATCCTTTTACTTAATTGCTAAACTGGTAGCAAACCATTAAATAAAATTCTCATTCAGGCAATTCGGGCTTGGTATATTGTTGGACGACTTGGTGGATGCAATTCCATGAATATGCAAGTAAGCCAGCCTTCAAATACATTTTTCTTGTTATATAACTGAAGACGTAAGAATATATTCGAAGAGCTTTAGCTGTAAAAGAAGATTATATAGTTTTATTTACAAGATTATATAGTTTTACTGTTGAAAGTATGCTTTCCTCTGTTGGTAACAGCTGTCGCAATCCCCTATGGACAAAAGACCAAGCTATGATGATATTCAAGGAGCAAATGCTACACCAACCACATTTTACAATATTGGAGATCTTGAGGTTCAAGATAATTTAGCTCGAATATGGTGCGATGCTTAAACATCTAAGGTTTATATAGGATTGGATTGTCTATGGAGATAATTTTCTTAAACATATTTTTCTTTGTATGTGACAGGATGGATATCGGCACCAGCGAACCTTTACTCTTGGATATATTAATCAATGCATTGACACAATTGAGCTCCGAGTAAGTACTGTCACCTCTCTTTTAATATCTTATCTCTACTAACTTTTGGCTGCAGGTAACCTTTAAGACCTTTGCTCGGTATTTGTTGTAAATGTGTGTTATTACTTCTTACGAATACTCTCTTACTTGATCTTCTCTATATCATGATACTCTCTAACTTGTTTTACAGTTATGTTGGAATTAAGCAAGTGATGTTTGGTGGATCTGAATTTGAGAGCTGGAAAGAGGACTTAAAAACCGAAGATGTGGGATATACCGTTCACAAGATATAGGGAATGTCGCCCGTATCGAGTTCCTTCTCGTTTCAATTTTGTTGCATGATGTAAGAGGTATATATAGTGTGTAAAAGTAGAATTGGCAGTACTGCAATATTTTGGATTACAAGAGCTCTACTACTGCATTTTGTTGCTCATTTGTACCTCCATTGATTAAGATTATGCAGGGGATAAATAGTTTTATTCCCCATGTTAGCTTTGCAAATTTTGAGGTGTAATCTTCTAGAATAAATGTTTGAAGAAACTCGTTTTATGTACTTTTGTTAAGAGCCTAGAAAACGAAATTGTTTTAGAATCTATACAATAACCGTGGATACTTGTCAAGAAAATTATGTTTAAAATTGAATAATAATAACAACAAAATATGTTTTAGTTTTTAAATATTTTTTGAAAATTATATTACTATTTATATTTAAAATGACCGTGTCACTTACACGAATTATCATATTATGTTATGATTTTTTTATATAATTTATATCAGATAATCTTTGTAGTTAAATTAGTTTAATAATTCTATTTTTTTGCATTAATATTAATAGGTAATTTCGTTTTAGTTACAAAATAAATTAAATTATTATCTTTTTTTGTATATATAATATAGATGTCAAATTAAAGTTAGTCAAGACATGATTAATTGAATAAAAAAATTGTTAATAAATAAAAATATTATTAACTTTTAAAAGTGTTTATAACTTAAGTTCATAAATTTGTTATAATTTTTAAATATTTTGCGGAAAAAATAAAGATTGGGAAAAAAAAAACCTTATAACCATGTCTACAATAGGAAGTAATATTAAAACATAATTAATGCTCTTAAAAAAGATCATAAATATCTAGTATATTTATGGGTATTCCAACCCTAATTACTTTTGGATTGAAAATAAATTAAAATTCATTCAAGCCAAATAACAAAGCTTACAAGTTTGCCAACTACAATCTCGAAGCGTACAAGTATGTCACTTAAGCTCAGCACATTAGAGTACTATATATAGGGAGATATATTGAAAGAGGTAGTTTGAATTATATAAAATAGTAACTTTAACTTTGTAATTAAATTAGTTGACTTACTATTAAAGAAAATATGGTAAAACGTACTTTAATATTTTTTTAAAAAGAAAATCAAATTATACGTACATGTTGCAAATCGTGCAATCCGGTTAATGACATGAAATTCTATATAAATAAAGTGGTATTGAATTTTTAAAATTATTTGAGGATAGTTACCACGATAAAAATCCGATTATTTATATTAGTTACGAATCACTACAATTTCTTATTCATTTGGTAATTAATCATATATTGTGATTTTCTACAACATGACTTTAAAAAAACGACTATTAAATAGGTTTTTTTTTTAGAATTTATGATTTGAAAATGAATGATAAAATTGCAAATACAATAACAAAATAATAAAAAAAAATCAATTATGTTGAACAAACATGCAAATTATTAGTTCAGAAAGAAAAATCTAAATATTTATAATATATAATGTTAAATTAACTAATCATCAATCGAACTATCCATGTAAATTAGTAACTCAGAGAAAAAATATAATGTGTATTGTTATAAATTATAATTATAAACCAACAAGTTATCTATCGAACAAGGATGTAAATTGTCAAAAAAATAAAAATTATTTATAATGTATATTGTTATTCATTATAATGATAAATTAGGCGGTGTCAAACTGCCATATAAATTATTAAACTACAATAAAATTTTAAAATACTTATAATATATATCATTATAAATTATAAAAATAAAATAAATTAATATTGGTGTAACTAAATAATATTAAATTTTTTAACTTCAAAATAATATATATTGCAGTTTCTTAAAATTAATTGTTGGTTATAATATTTGCCACAATTTTTTAATTTTATAATAACTTATTTAGGAATTGAAATATTGTAATAACGTACTAATAGAGTACGATAGGGAGAAAAGTATTCTATTATTATTTAATGTTCGAATATGTTAAATTTTTATTATACTTAATTTTAAACTGCAACTCTAAAATGACAGTTATTTTATAACCAGTAAAATAAACATAAAAATCATATGATAAATATTATATACTATAAAATAAATGGAAAAAATATTGACATTCAAAACCATTGAAAATTAAGGTTCGGGATGGAAATAACCATTATTCTTCACGTGCAGGACAAGATACAAAATAATCCATTGGAAGGGATGTGATAAAATTTTCCCACTATGCAATCACTAATGTTTTAAAGGGGTTTTGGTAATCGAACCGGTCAAACTACTTGTTCAGATACATATAATCAAAGTAGATTTAATTCAAATACCATACAAAAGGCAACTTTATCAATCAACAATATTGTGAATCAGAGTTGTAGTTAAGCTGACCAAAGAATCATCACAACACATAAAACGTAATTACCTAAAAAACTTGAGTTTAATCACTTGAATGAACATTTTGGAACAAAATAAAAGATAGAAAATTTACGAACATTTTGAAAAATATAACGGTTATTTTTAGATGTAAAACAATAGAAAATATGGTAAAAACCCCGACGTGAAGACCACATTAAATCTTTGCCTCGAGGACTAGCCCTTTATCCATTTATAATCATTTTCTCTTATAATTTTTATAATTTATATAATGAATAAAATTGATTATAAAAAAAAAATTCTGCTGTTCGGTCGACGATCGCGGACGTGCACAGACCTGTCCTATTGGCGAAAACGAACGTGCACGATCCTGTTCTACCAGCGAAACCGAATGGTGCACGGTCCGTCCTACCGGCGATTGCTTCCGGCACCGTGCATGTCCAATTTTGCCCGCCGAACAACGACAACATTTTTTTCTTTTCAAGGGGGTGATAAGTTGTAAGAAGGGGACGGTATTTAACAATTCACTTAATTTATAGAAGTACTTTTAATATAACAAAAGAATTATGTTTATAATTTTTGAATGTTATTATATAGCTAAATCTATATCATGTATGCTCACGAAATTCCGATTCCATAAACAATCTATCGATAAAATTCTACTTCGATGGTCTCGATTTCATCTTCTTCTGTTGCTAGCTGTAATTTTATCACGCGCCAATGGTAACTCCCGTCGCCCTACAGCGAGCTGACAAGCGCCTCTCTCTGACTTGCTTTGGAGTCCAAATCCCGTTGCTTTCCTAGCTGTTGTAGCGAGAGACCCCAATTAGAATAGACAAAACAGCCACGCCCGCATTGGGCACGCACATGATGTCGGTCGGTTACAGTCCATCGAGAAGCCCCGGGATCTCGAGGATGCAGTTGGGCGGCGCCGCCGCCTCCTCCCGGCTAAGATCTTCCTCTATGAAGAAGCCGCCTGAGCCGCTGCGCCGAGCTGTAGCCGATTGTTTGTCTGCCGCAGCGCCTTCGCACGTCGAGGCTTCCAGAACGTTGCGGGTTTGAGCACTTCTTTTTCCTTTCGGATTTCAAATTTTCAAGCTTTTTTAACTCTCGTCATTTATTATGTTCATTTCACTTGAATTGGGTGTGTATAACCTTTAGCATTCCGTGATTTTCTGTGAGGCCATCATCAGATGTCCTATTCCCTGATTTTATTGGCTGAAAGATTCGGTTTTTAGAGTGGTTCATATATTATGTAGTGCCGCAGAGGGGCTGTTTGTTTCATGTGGGTTGTCGTTGTTAATGCCAGTGGAGGAGTTCTGGGAGATGCATAAATGTTGACAAGATCACGTCTTTGGGAAAAATGGTGCTATAGTGGTTTATCGCTCAAGCATACTGGTGCTAGTACCATGCTTAAAAATTTAACTTCCCTCTAAAAAGTTTCTTGTTCTTCAGTTTTAGCAACTTGTGTCAGTCATGATAAGCAAGACCAATCTGGCGTGTTACTCTAGTTAACCAAGTTCTCGTTTTGGAATCTGAATTTTGTAGTTCATGCTTAGAATTTCTTTGCTGTATGCTTAATACAGTAGAGTAGAAAGTTGTCTGATATAAGTCCAGAGTAAAACATGTGTCTTATGACATTCAGATTTTAATCTCCGATGCATGTTTTCCATAGTTTTGAGAAAGAATGTGGGCCTGTTGTATGATATGAACATGTATCAATGGCAGGATTACCTGGCAGCACATGCTACGATTGACTTGGCATATGGCATGATTCTAGAGCACACACTTGCCGAGAGGGAACGCAGGTATGCTAATATTTGTGCTATTTTGGTGCTAATTATAAGTGCTAATAGTATGTTTCTTCATATGGATGTGACATATACTCATGCTGTTTCTTTTAAACCTTTGAGTGTTGCTTACATCTACTATGTATCATATTATACCCTAGAGGTGATATTTATTTGACCGTCTCTTGCTTTGGATGCTACCTCTTATATGTTTCTTTGTGTTAATTTATGCGCAGTTATGTCTGATGTTGTTTGGTTGTTTGTATAAACAGTCCTGCTGTGGTTGGAAGGTGTGTGGCGCTACTGAAAAGATATCTTTTAAGGTGATCTTTTCCCACTGTGGTTATTATTATTATTTGTTTTTTTCTTTTTTAGACTTCATGATATTGACTGACTCTAGGATATCGGCTCATACTCAATAAAAAGCACGATCTATTACAAAATGACTACTCACTAATATATATTATCAGTTATGGAAACAGTTGGGACGAATTGAAAGGTGCGAATGGCCATTTTCAAATAGGCTACACTTGGCGGTTGATAGTATGAAATCTTTATTTCACTTTTTAGTTCACGACTTAGCTAAACTATTATTGGTTTGCAAGATATTCTATGCATGCATACACAGGCAACTTGAATAATCCCAGGGGAGTGAATCACAATTTATCTGGAGCATTTTAGACAGACTTATTTGGCTGATAATAACTTGGTAATTGGATCAGTTAATGTTTTAAATATAAATAGAGAGATCCCTTCTTTGGCTTAAAAGATAGCGCTAACCTGAACGCTCTATTCGGTCGTCGAACTTGTTACTCGATCGAAGAGATTTTTGGAACACCTCTAACAGAGAAACAAAAGATTTTTGAAAAGAGGGTACTACGTAGCTTTACTAGAAAGGGCAAAGATCATAGGTCCTTTACTAGAATATATATAAAGACATTCCATCAAGCAACTAATTGAAATTGAAGGCAAGAGCACCAGCTTCAGTTGGGCTGTATTAAGAGCTAAATTGGCTAAAGGTATGGGTCCATGAGCCACCCCGGCAAAAGCATTCGAATGTCCCCCAGCAGGATGCTAGCTAATTTTAGTCTGTCCAACAAGCGTTAACCCCAAGTTAATGTTTTGTCTGTAATCCATTAAGTTTTTGACATACATTAAGGGAATGAGAGGAAAAGAATCGCATTTCTCTTTAAACGCGACACCTCAACTGAATTAGGACTGGGGAAGTGAACCTGCAAAATTGCTGGTGGTCTTTGAAACCAAAAGCAGGCGCCTTTTACCTAAATGCCATAATTTTATTCTTCAGAATTTGAGAGCAAACACACATGGTGTAGGGGACTAAAGAAAAGGGAGTAAATGCTTCCGTTTGCTGCATGGCAACTTTTTTGTACTTTTCGACTTCATTTATGTGATTAAAGTGATATTTAATATATGGTTGCTAATATATGGTGTAGGGGACTAAAGAAAAGGGAGTAAATGCTTCCGTTTGCTGCATGGCAACTTTTTTGTACTTTTCGACTTCATTTATGTGATTAAAGTGATATTTAATATATGGTTGCTAATTTCCTTTATTTGCTATCTTTTGATTCTTATTTTGCATATATTTCTCTAAAGGGAGGCTTTTTGTTTACAACTGTTTGAAGAGATTTTTGTGTTGCTTCAGTGCACGTGCAATTTGGCATTTCTGGAGTTTCTTTGTTTCTACTTAGATACGCTTAAATTAAAATAATGATGGTTGACAAAAAGACCTTATATGATAATAGTATACTTAATTTTGCTAAATGCAAGAAAAACTAGGTGCACTTTTTCTATTAATTGGCGCGTCATGATAATGCTCAGTGTTGTAATGTTGTGTAATTTTGGATGGGCTACATAATAGGAACAAGATGATGATAAAGCTGGTGATTGTAGGTTCAGGTAATTGGGACTGAGTTGTGAGGGACTGGTGTTTCTCTCTATGGTGCAATTGGAAACATTTTCACTTTGAAACTAGTTCCTTTTTCATCAAAATTTTCATAAGATATATCCTGTTCAGCCGTTTCCATTTTCTTTTTTCCTACAGGAGGCAGATAAATGGGAATTGATATCCTTAGATCTGTTTAGGTTGGGCTCTAAGAAGGTGGCTCATGAATATACATTGGCCTTTTTTGTATATTGCAGGTACAAACCAAGCGAGAACACATTACTGCAGATTGATCGATTCTGTATTAATATAATTGCTGAGTGTGATGTAAGCCCTTACCGGAAATTGCCGCCATGGTCTCGTTCCTTAGGTGAACAATCTGGGGTTTCAGCACCATCTCCAAATGTAAATCCTCTGCCCGTGTCAAGTTTTACTTCTGGAGCACTGGCGAAATCCTTAAATTATGTTCGCTCGTTAGTGGCTCAATATGTTCCAAGGCGTTCCTTCCAACCGGCTGCCTTAGCCGGAGCTGCTCCTGCTTCAAGACAAGCATTGCCGACATTATCAACGTTGTTGAGCAGATCATTCAATTCCCAACTAAGTCCTGCAAGTGGCAAAGAATCTTTGGAGAGCAAGGAAACATCGATCACATCTGTTTCTGAGACACCGATTGCTGAAGAAGTTGATGAACTTGGAGACCTGGAGTTTATGGCACTCGATGTTTTTAGATGGCGCTGGTGTGGGGACCAACAGTTGTCACTTCTCCTGCCCAAAAGGTTCTTCTATTTCAACCTATACTGTTATCTACTATAACTTGAATCATTTATAGGTTTACCCATTTTTGAATATACTCATCTACAGTGATCACATACTGAATCTCCAAGACATGCGATCTCAAAATTTCTTAGAAATTGGGGCTGCAGCTCTTCTTGTTGGCGACATGGAAGCCAAAATAAAGGGTACATCTTTGAGAGGTTTTGGAAGCGCAGAGATGCCGTTTCTAGATCAATTATTGCAGCCTTCACTGCTGACTACTGTTACCAATTCAAACTCAGCTTTTGCCCATTTGAGAGCAATAACAGCGCTAAAGCGCACGAAGTCAGGGTCTAATCAGATATGGTGTGTCCTTGCCTAATCTGTGTTTATACAAAAAGTGATTTTTGTTGTCTTTTATCTTGCCACCATATCTATCTTCTCTTCCATGTTTCCTTTTTTACTTTGTGAGACTGCACGGTGTTCTTTTTAATGTCTGATGTTTATGGCAAAGTCAACATTAGTTGAATGCTGTTTCTAGGACGTGAAGACCCTTATTTCTGATTGTTCAAACTCTCTGTGCCGCCTCTGATGTGCGCTTGCCGAACCAGCACAAACAAAGGCATGGTTGTACACGATGACAAGGATCTATGAAGTCAGATGTGTTAACTGATAATTAATTGAAGCTTATTTTTTTAGTTTTTGACTTCAATCTGAGTTTAATGTATGGCATCGGATGAGTCTTATTGAGGCATTAGAATTCTGTACTTGAGAATTAATCTTCGTGATAGTGTTGTGAGTAGATATATTCTTCTAGCTGAACCGTCTCTTACTTTGGCATAATACATATTTTCTGTGTGTGTTTTATGCTGAATTGGTTCATGAGATGGATTTTAGTTGAAGGAATAAGTGGTTTTGTTTCTGTTAGGGGTCTCATAAATTATGCCTGTCCTTTTGTTTCTTTCTTTATTTTTTTTTTATTTTTTTTTTTATTTTTTTCCCTTTGAGGATTTCATGAAGTTTCCTGTCTTATTTTGAGTGTTAACCTTCCTTTTTAAACAATTTGCTATCTTTTTACCATCCAGCCTCATATGCCTTTTTCTAGGAAGCAAACTTAGGCCACCATTTTGTTTATCTTTTTGTTTATTATATCATGTATTTAAATAAATTATAAATACTTAGTGGGAACATTGGTGGAAACTATCACTATTCATGCTCATCAACGACATCTTGCTGTCTCCAACATTAAATGTCATAGAAACAGACTAGAGAATAGTTACCGTCTGGAGCTTTATTCTTTTTGTACATGGTTCCATCTTGGTAATTTATCCTTTGTTTTATTACGTCTTCCTCACCAAAGTAACCAAAGATTTGAGAGTCTCATGTATCTGTATTCGTCTATCTGACATGGAACTTCACTGTAGATACCTGTCGTGTTTAGATGTTTTTCTCGTTGATATTCTATTATTTTATTTACTTATATTTTTCTTTAACAGGGAGGATTCTTCTATGAGCACCTTTCGACCTCGTACAAGACCACTTTTTCAGTATCGCCACTACAGGTAAAGAATAGAAATTTCTTCAGGTTCCCCAGTCATCTATTAGATGTTATTATCATGTCTTCTTCTATATATTGTGAATTCACTTTAGGCATATGCGCGTTTGTGTGCCAAACAATCTTTCTGTCAAAATTATTAAAGCATTGAAGGCTGGCATATCAATATGGTTCTGTTCCACCTTCTTTCTGTGTGACTTATACTCTATCCCAATATTTTGATTTTCCAGTGAACAACAACCCTTGCGATTGAATCCAGTAGAGGTCTGTGAGGTGATTGCGGCTGTTTGCTCTGGGGCATCTGCCAATTCGAATCACTCGACTGTCTCGTCTAAGTTAAGACATAGCGGGAAACCTACTATGGATGTTGCTGTGAGCGTTCTGGTTAAACTTGTAATTGACATGTATGTCTGTTACTCACTATCGATCTCTCTTTCAATTTTTTTCTTATTCGCTTTAATCTTGTGGTACGACTATGGTGAGCTATCGGTGAATATGATGGGTTTAATCTTTCTTGTGAGTGTATAGCAAGACCAATTTTTGTTATACCCAAATTCCGCTGGGTCAACCTAATAGCTTGAGTTTACCTTTTTTTGCAGGTACGTTTTGGATCCCAAGACTGCTGCTCCTCTCGCTCTATCCTTGCTAGAGGTGCTTCTTCTCCTGACATAGTATAATGTGAATAATATGGTTAAATCTAATTATTATTTTTAACATTGCAGGACATGTTAAATTCCCCTAATGTAATGGCAAAGGCTCGAGCCTTCGATCTAATTATCAATCTTGGAGTGCATGCACATTTGTTGGAGCCGCCAGTACCTGATAGTTCCACTACAGTGGAGGAACACTATTCCCCGGAAGCATTCTTTGACAGTGGTTCTCAAATATCTTCAGATGGAAATATAAAAGCTGACTTTCTCAAGAAAACTGGAAACGCCTCAGCCATTGATAAGTTCGAAAGTTGGATTCTGGGGATTCTCTTCGAGGTGCTTCTTCATCTTGTTCAGGTATAACTTATTAATTGCCATAATTTTGTTAGTTCATGTTCATTTTTGGTGTTTTCAGCATCCGATGTTCTGTTTTGTTTGTGCTTTTTCTTCTTTTATTTGATTGCTGCTGGTGGGGGATCAGTATGTACTTCCTGTTGATTTTAGATATATTGGATAGCATCTATGCCTTTACAGATTTTGGATAACATCTATACCCGCGTTGTATTGGTAATAGTAATTCACTTCATTGGAAGTTTAGAAGTATAAAAATGATTTCCTCCACTAATGAACAGTTATGACTGTTTATGAAGTGAGGTTATCTACATTTTATAGTTCTATCCTTAAAATGTTAAGATAAATACATTACTGAAAATATATGGAAAAAATTCCATTCAGACATAGGAGTTGCTTTAAGTCATTCGTGGTTGAATATAAATAAACCTGTTTTGATTGATTTATTGGTTAAAGTTAATTTTGAGTAAAGTTGATTGGGTGAGATTTTGAGTTTGTATCTAAATAATATTTAAAAAATAAAATATAATGATTAAAGTTGATGTGATGTAAAAGTAGGAGATACTATTGAAAGTGATAGGTAGTTAAAAATAGTGAGTGTGGATGAATAGTGAATTAAAGTTGATGTGATCATGAGGATGTTTAATTGGTATATTTAGGCTAAATTAAACTTGAGTTGGATTTTGAGTTAAAGAGTGTACAAAAATTGTCTGGTCGAGTAAAAAATAGTTAATTTTTGTAGCCAACCGCGCCCTAAAAACTTTGTTTAACCAAAATATTTTGGTGAGGATTCTGCCCTCCCTCACCATGCTGGAATGCATTGAAATCCATAATGTTGTGATTCTCAACCAAGGTTAGCAACACCTTGCTTTGATGGAATTCATGGTTGCAACCGGTGGAAACGATTTTCACTCATCTATCTAATGAACAGATATAAGTACTGTTAAGATAAATATATTTTAATATATGAAAAAAATTCCATTCAGACATAGGGGTTGTTTCAAGTATAAGACTTTCGTTAACCAATAAATTTGGTTAGGATTTCTGCTCTTTCTCTCTGATCATGTTGCAACGCGTTAATAATCCAAAGCATTGTGATTCTCATGCAATGTTAGCAACACCTTGCAGTGATGGAATTCATGGTTGCAACTGATGGAAATGATTTTCATTTATCTAATCATCAAGTATAAGGATATCCATTCTCTTCTGTCTTGTGTCAGTAGAGCTGTGTGCCATAGATTTTAATATGCACATTTCTCCTACGGATTTCTGAGAAAAGCAATATTAGTCTGTAGCCTTCGATCAAATTACTAAGACGGTACTCATTACAATCGTAAAATCTTCTTGAACTTGAGAAAACCAACTATATACTAAGTCATGAGGTTCCCTTTCTCCAGTTATTTCAGTTTAACATTTTTGCTTTGACGAGTCTTCATTTCTATTTGTATGCTCTGATCCTATGTTGATTCATTATGTTGGAAAGGCTGATAAATTAAACATTAGGTGAAGTTTGCTTTAGCTTTACCTGCTCTTATGTGCAAGTGTACTCATTTGTTTTGGGCACATGTTCATTTGTCTGGTATAGGATAATCGCAACTCAATTTATTGAATATGAAGATTTTTAGTTCAGTTAGCTAGTTATTATGTTTACTCCTCCGATGCAAGATCTTTTACATGTCTATTTCACAGATTGAAGAGAAAGAGGAGGCTGTCTGGGCTTCTTCATTAAGCTGTTTACTGTATTTCGTCTGCGATAGAGGCAAAATACGAAGGAGCAGATTAAAAGGTCTTGATATCAGAGTGAGTATTTCTCAATTGACTGCTCAGAATCTATATATATAGCAGCGCTCTAAATTAAAAGAATTGAACTGCTGATGCCTGTATTATATAATCCTGCAATGTTCTCAATTTTAAAAGAGTGCAATGCGTGGACTTTTTGTAAATCTTATGAGGAAAATAATGAAACACTTGACCTTGAAAACTTCACATACTAGAATTTTAGTGTAATTCTTCATTACTAGTCAACTCCTAAATGAATGTAAGCATTTATAATAGAATAATTACATTTGTATTTAATTAATTTTACATTCAGCACCTTTTAGTCTTTGTAACAAAAGTGTCACTCATATTTTAGCACTTTTGGTAGAGTTGTAATAGGTATATAAAGGGTTCCTCTAACCCTAAATCTCATTCATTCTGCCCTAATCTCATTTTACTGATTTTTCTTTCCTCTCGACCGACCTCGCTCTCCCAATATTGCTTTTGTGATTGATTGTAATAAATTATGAATAGAACAACAATGACATGTTCTATGCATTTAGCTTGATTATCTAAAACTTCTCCGTACTTGTTTACAAAGCAGGTTAGGCGTTTCATGCTTTTATTTATTTTTTTATTTGGAACAAGTACTCTATTAATTCCCGGTTCTTTTTGAAAACTCTAGTGTGGCCATCTATATATTTTATTTGTGAGTCATGTGGTCAGTCTCAAGTATAAGAGTGAAAAGTACCAAGCCTGTGTGATGTTGGGTTCAGAACCAGCGAAATGTGGCTCTATCTGCATTCATGAGTATTAGTTCACTGCATCTGCTGTTTCTGGTGGCTACGTGGGTGTGGGGTTAAATGTAACCCAGAGCCCGTCAATTGATCGGATGCTGATTACATGCATATACAAGAACTAGGTTAGGTTTGTTATTTTATTTTACATTGTTTAAAAATTTTATGATACCATTCAATTTAGGAGGTCACTTCCACTTCCACCTCTTCGAAGTACTCCATTTTTTTCTCTCCGGCATGACACTTATTTTGCATTGAAACTCAGATTGATTAAATGCTAGGTGAAAAGAGAACCTGATTGATTATACTAGAATAATATCTATAGTGGTAACTTCATAACTGTCACAGTCATTACTCATTTGAAAGTTATAAACTGTTGAAGAGGATTGTATTTCTAATCTTACAATTGCAGTATCTTAAAAGTTAGCTCTCTCTCTCTCTTAAAGTTAACTCTGTCTCTCTCTCTCACTCTCTCTCTCTCTCTCTCTCTCTCTCTCTCTCTCTCTCTCTCTCTCTCTCTCTCTCTCTTTATCTCTCTCTCTCTCTCTCTCTCTCTCTCTCTCTCTCTGTGCAGGTTGTTAAGGTTCTCATGCAGATTAGTAGGAGAAACTCTTGGGCAGAAATAGTTCATTGCAAGCTAATATGCATGATGACGAACATGTTTTATCAACCACCTGAGGCTTTTGATAAAGTTGTTTCAGCTACCCCCTTATTTCTTGTTAGCCAAGTTGATCTGATTGGCGGAATTGACTTTATATTTGGGGAGGTATATATACTAATCTCTTCCTGTGAGCTAGGTTGTGTCTAGAATGAAGACATGTGCTTATTTATGTAGAAACAATGTGGTATATGGTTTCAGCTATCTGCCACTTGCTGGGCATATTTAACTTTTTCATCTTTTCCTTAAAAGGTCTTTTAGCGTGCTATAACGAACTCACCCTTCACATGTGCATACAAACTCAGAACCTTAGTTTTATGCTGTATGTTTACAGTAGGAAACCATCAGCTTTTCGTTGTTTTTAAGTTTCATGGTGTTCGTTAAAGCGTTTTAAGTGTTCTATTGCACGGAACATCGTCCAAGGATAGGCTTTTAATAATGTACCAGTGTCTTTATCCCAGTCCAAATGTATTGGTGTAAATGGACTGTTTTGGATGAGATATTACTAGCATGCTGATTAAATAAAGTTATTTCAGCTTCTACCAATAAGCAAGCATACTTTTCAGTTGTGTTTGCAAGTGCTATTAGTTAATAGTCCACAGCTCAAACTTCAACTTTTCAAGTGGTTAATTTTTCATGTACCATGTCTGAACCACTAGGCTTCTTGAGATTTGTGTTTTATGGGAACCGTTGATATGTTTCTGTAAGAATGTAATGCTAACTGAAATGGTTTATCCTTTTTTTTTTTTTTTTCCCCTTTGGGTTGTTAATAAGAAGTACTTATATTTTGTATAAAATTTAATGAGAATTAGTAGGCGAAAAGCTAACCCAAAAAAAATTACCGTAAGCCTGGACAAACGCACCATAGCCAATGTCCGTAATCAAATCAGACTATTACATCCTAGCACTCTAAAATGAAAGATTCCCTATCCTTAAAATGTATCATTCTTTTCCCACCTTATGACCAACAGAAGATATTGAACTGTTCTTGCCTGCTCTATACAACATACTTCAATTGATTTTGTAGGCTCAATATAAAAATGTGATATATTGTTAAAATTTTACGTCTGTTTTACTATGCAGTTGGTGCTTTCAGACTCGAGGGAAGAAAGGAGAAATCTTTATTTGGTGCTTTTTGATTATGTATTGTATAAAATAAATGAGGCTTGTATAGCTGCTGGAGTTTCAGAGTACAGCGATGATGAGGTCCGACCTATTGCGACCTTGCTTATGCTTGCAGATGCACCTGAAGCGCTGCATATTTCTGTCAAATTGAGTGTTGAAGGTATTTTGGAACTACTGAGGAGATCAATTTCAGCAGCATTGTCCTCATATCCTAATAATGATCGACTCTTAAAGGTATATTTCTAATATGTTGAATTTTATCTACAAAGTTATAGCCTCATACTCGGTTGTGTGGCAAGAGAGTAGCTAACTCAAAGTTTATGGTTGACCGGTTGATGAATTTTAGTATTTTCATACTTAGACGATTTTTATTGATAAATGTTTGAAGAATGGTAACTATGGTTATAATCTGAAGGAATAATCAATATATTACGTAAGCAAAGATCATTCATGTATCACATTTGTAAAATATTACAAATTCATTTGGTGTAAAATTGTGGAAGCGCATTCTATTGAGTAATAAGTTTATGTACTGCATACATGATTAAATAGTTTATATTATATAATGAAAATAATACATAATGTCACTAGGAACAAAGGGATTTGAATATAACTTTGATCTAGAAGTCTTATTTATCTAATTAGATACAATTTTATTAACTTTATCCTATGTAATGTACTAGGGATGTATACGATTTGTGAATTTTTCTGTATGAATACATGGCAAAAGAATAATGTATTGTTTGGTATTTTATATTTTGTTTCACCTTTCATTTTCTTTCGCTTCTATTCTATCTCTTATTTCATTCTTAAATTTTATTGGAAAGATTACTTTGTATCTCATTTCTTGCATGACTGTTTCTCATATAAGTCATCTTTTAAGCACCAAAAAAAGAAGTAAAAGGAAATGGAAATAATTATTTTGCTTATTAAAATATAAAAAGAAAAAGTAAAAGCAAAGTACTTAACGCATTTTTGTTATACTGCTGCAGTTATTGGAGAAGATAGTAGAGAAGTTTGACACACTCATAGGATCATTCACTCGTGTAGATACCGAGTTCACCCAAATGATTCAGTTCACAAAATTATTCAAATCTATTGAAAGCATCGACAGAGGTCTTGGGAATGCTACTACTATGAAAGCAAGTCTCTCTTGGACCACTTTACATTCTCTTCTTCATTCAGAACGTAGAGCTTACCGTCATAATGGGTACTTGTGGTTGGGCGACTTGCTGATTGCAGAAATCAGTGGTGAAGGGGATATGGATCTCTGGTCAAGTATTAAAAATTTGAAGGAGAAAATTTCTCTTGCTGGTGTTAATGATTATTCGGCTGCTTTAGATGTTTCTTTACCTATTTGGCTTATGTGTGGGCTTCTGAAGTCGAAGAATAACCAAATCAGAAGGGGTTTTCTGTTTGTTCTGGAAAGGCTGCTGATCCAATGCAAATTTTTGCTAGATGAGAACGAAGTCCAGCACGTGATACGCAGTCAATCGGCGCCACATATACATGACAAGAGTCGTCTTGAGAAAGCAAATGCGGTAATAGATATCATGAGCTGTGCCTTATCCTTGATGGTTCTAATAAACGAAACCGACCGAATGAATATTTTGAAGGTAATTATTTTAAATGTCATTTATGACGTGTAGCACACTTAGTGTTAGAAAGAGCTGCATTTTGTTTACTGTAATTAAGGCTTTCAATGAAGCATTAAGTATATGGGCTATACCACATGCTTTTCCCTGCTTAGAAGATGTTGTTATCCATTGGGTGCATTTTTGCTAGGCGTCCTATAAAATTGATCTGGTTCTCTTTATTTAGTATCTTATGATTTTCTTTTCCTTGATCATTCAATAACAGATGTGCGATATTCTACTTTCTCAACTTTGCCTCAAAGTTGTTCATACTGACGTGACGTCATTTGGAGATGTAGTCCACAATAAAGGTTCTAGTAACCCGGAAAAGGTGGTGGATAAGGCAGATGGTGCTGATAATCTTTCTGTAATTGAGAATGTTGGCCATGGTGATTTAATAGGAGATCCTAGCACCAAACTTGGAAGAAATGTACATACTCCAGTTTGTGGTACCGCATCCATGGCAACATTGCTTCTTAATGGACAAGCCATTGTGCCCATGCAATTGGTTGCTCGTGTTCCTTCTGCGTTATTTTATTGGCCTTTGATCCAGCTTGCTGGTGCTGCAACAGATAATATTGCACTGGGAGTCTCTGTAGGTAGCAAAGGAAGAGGGAATCTTTCGGGCGGCACATCGGATATTAGAGCTACACTTCTCTTACTTTTAATTGGCAAATGTACAGCAGATCCAGCTGCTTTCGTTGACGTTGGTGGGGAAGAATTCTTCAGGTCCCTTCTCAGCTTGAATTTCACTGTTCATGGTGATGCTTTTTAATGGTTTTCCAAATATTTATAGCATTTAAATATTATGTTATGTGTACATTTGGCAGGGAATGGTTGGATGATACAGATGCAAGAGTGGCATATTACTCGTCAACCTTTCTTTTAAAGGCAAGAACTGGATCATCTCTGTTGCTGATGTTGGAACTGTGAAACATAAAAATTTGACGCAAGAGTTGTATTTTGCAGAGAATGATGACAGAGCAACCGGAACAATACCAGCGCATGCTTCATAGTCTTGTTGCAAGAGCTCAGCAGGTGCATTCTGGTTTACTATTTATTTATTTTCTATTTTTTATTTTTTGTAGAAATATGTGGCTTCTGGCAGGATGTTGTTTTGCAGCATGCTGTGATACATATGCTGTCAAGGACAGCACCTAACATCCCTGGTTGGGAATTGTCATATTGAGAGGAATTTTATTTTTCAGATAACTCGTAATGATCAGTATTTTGCCTTTCCTTTTCCTTATTGATATCTTCAATTAAAAACTTCATGGACACATACCCTGAAAACATGATGGATGTAAACTTCAATCTGTTGTGGCCTTGGACAATACAGTTCTTTTTTCTTTCCGGGTCTGAGAGTGTCTTTATCTTGTTTAACCGTGTTAAGTAATAAAAACACTTAAGCTTCATAGTTTTTCCTGTTCCACAACAGTTCTTTGTGGAATCACAGTCAGTCCCAAGATAGTTTGCCAAGTCTTTCAATTGATATATCAAACTTGCAAAAAGTTTTAGTAGTTTAGCCCTAGTTCTATTTATCAAGATTTGATGTATGCTTTAAAATTACTTTCCTATTTTCTCCTTTTTTTCCCCTTTATGCTTAATTTCTCATCTCGTCGTATTTATAGCGTATTTTGTGAATCCTTTATAGAGATATTCTGAGTTCCTCTTTTATAATCATGATAATATTACTATTGATCACAATTTTCTGAATGTTTCTTAACAGAGCAACAATGAGAAGTTACTGGAAAATCCGTACCTCCAGATGCGAGGCCTGCTTCAGCTGTCAAATGAATAACTACATTTTTTTCAGCTTCCAGTTTTCAAATGAATCATTTTCTCTTGCTTGACTGGTTTGATTAAGGATTGCCTTTGCTGACTACTCCTGTTGTCCTGTTGAGTCTCTTTATCGTGAAAACTTGTGGTTAAGCTGTGAAATAGAATGCTTCTGTCCTATAATGGTTCGAATAGTTCAACTGTATTTATAGTTCTTTTAAGTGTAATTAAAATTGGGGGATGTCCTTGTAAACTGCCATTAGATGAACGAGTACTTTGTTTGTGATTTGTGCTTCAAGAGTTTTTCTAATTTTGATGGATGATGAAACAAGAGAAACCGAGTTTCTACTCAAAAGAAGTACTTACAAAGGCCTCTACTTGGAAGATTTTGGAATGGATTTGTGGTGTAATCAGCAAGAGCTTAATAGCTTATTCTGTATGTTGAATGTTGAAGAGTTGATACTTAAGCTCTCGTCAGGTAATCAACACACCTCCTTCGTAATTTTCCATGGTTCCTTTTGTTTCTCGTTGGTCACTTTATAAGAATTGAATCTGAGTGAGCATCCTGATCAGTTAAATTGACTTGTATATCGATTCTCTTCATCTAACCAAACATGATGTTCCAATTACTAATTTCTTGTGTTGGAAAATATGAAAAGCATAAACGTGAAAGTTGTTGATTATATACTTCTTTTGGTTTACGACTCTTTTGAGCCCCAGTCTGTTGTGTTTGCAGGTTTTGGTGTTGTTACATGAGAAGAATGCAGGAGGAAATAGATCTTTTGTTGTACTTACTCAACCAAAGCACAAAGTTCTGTGGTGAAGGTCCAATCTTTACTTCAGTGGTGCATTTCAGAAGACTGCATAAAGATTATTGTTTATAAAAAAAACATCAAGGAGCTGATATAGGTGTATAGTTGTACTACATTTTGTTTCTGGTGCACTTTGAATGTAATTTTCTTTTCCATTTATGCCTCTCTTGAGGTAAAGAGCAAAATAGGGGAATGTGTAGATTTGTGTTGTGGTTTGTGATGCCATTTCTAACCTTCATTTCTAACATGTAAGTAACTCTATTTGTCAATCAACGCAACTAGCTGTCAAAACTTAGTCCTTTGTGTAACCTTTTGGTTGGCTTGTTCAAGGGCTTTTCTGAAGGGAAAAAAATCGGAGATTCAGAAGTTTCAAACTTTCTATTACATATTGATTCTACTATGATTTTATTTGGGTAGGGAAATCATGATCGGAATAGAGGACCAAAGGCGAATTTTTGATGCAATCCCACAGGAATTGAGAGAATTGAGAATTCAAAGGAAATAGAAGGAACAGTACAAACAACCATTCTAGCACCAAACCGATTACACTGTACAAAAACAATCATTGAGACACAAATACCAAAATTCATCTGATCTAATATGTACAAAAAGAGTACAAAGAATGCCTTTTACAGTTAAATAAATATCTCAAGGATGAAAGATGTACAGAATCAGCAAGAAGGGGCAACCCTACCATTATGGTACAAAATTTGAGCTCATTGATCTCATTCGAAAACACCAAGGAAATAAATAGCTTGCTAAAGTTGCCGCTATTTGAGCTTTTTTGGCAGCGTGCCGCTATTTGTATTCATGTGCAATTTAGCCGCTAAATCCCGCTAAATCTCCGCTATAGCTACAGTGTCATAAACGTTTTAACCCGCTATTTAAAACCTTGGAAAACACTCAAAGCAATAAACATAAAATTCTAATACAATCACCAGAGCTCGAAGATTTACCGCTTGAGCTTTTCTTGGCTCCCGGAACATAATCAATAGACCGTGCAAATATAAGGCAAAAATTTCTGTTTTGCCACCTCCATAAAAACATGTATGGGCCCATCCCACCAAATTATCCCAACACAATAAAGCCCACACACACTGCAGAAGCCTGCCAGCAGGCCTCACATCAACCAACCCATACAAACAGTTGGATATTCATCGAGTTCATAGAGCTGCATAAACTTGTAGCTCGAAATTCTCAACCTAAATGAGCTTACGCTGCCGCATCCCTTTACCAAAGTGCGGTTGCATTAAGCGGACATACAAATTGTTCTTCGCCAGCAATGTGTCGTGGTTTCCTTCTTTTACAATTCGCCCACCATTAAGCACAACTATATTGTCAACATGTCTCATTATTGCTGCTCTGTGTGCAATAAGAATTGTGGTCTTGTTCCCCATAACCAGAGTATCTAGAGCTCCCGACTCGACTCGGACTCAATGGATGAGCTAGGTTCATCCAACAACAAAATAGGCGCATTCTTTAGAATAACCCGAGCAATTGCAATCCTTTGCTTTTGGCCGGGTGTTAAATCCACACCCCTCATCCCGACATGAGTATCATAACCGTGAGGCAAACTGCTTATAAAATGATGAGCATTTGCTATTCTTGCAGCTTCTTTCATCTCAGCTTCACTTGCATTGTGCCTTGCGTATATGATATTTTCTCTTATAGTTGTTGCGAATATGATGGGTTCCTGCTGAACAAGGCCCAGGTGGTTTCTCAACCATCTCAAGTTGTAAGATTTCAAATCTCGACCGTCGAGTAGAATCTGACCAGAAACCGGATCATAGAATCTCTCTATCAACGATATAATGGTGCTCTTTCCAGACCCTGAAACACCAACCACTGCCACAGTTTGGCCCCCATTTACTTTAAGACTAAAATTGCTGAGTATCAAGATCTCGGGCCATGTGGGATAGCAAAAGTTGACGTTTTTCAATTCGATGCTTCCGTAAACATTTGCGGGCTTTAAGGCTGAGTTGTCATCAGGGTCAATCTTAGGGGTTCGGTCGATAATCTCAAAGGCAGATTTCAAGGATTTCCTTCGTTTAAGAATGTATGGAGCCAAACCAAAAGGTTCAACCAATGCAAATGTTGCAAAAGAGAAAACCATGTACTCTTTTAGTGTTGTGGCCAAAGTCATGTACCCGTTCTTCACAGAAAGAGAAGCGTACCAAAGAAGAAGAGCATTGCAGGCAAAAAGAAGGAACTGAGAAAAGCCAAATGCAAAACCAATAGCCATTCCTTGGAGAAAGCTTTTCTTGAATATTCTCCAAAGTTGAACTCTGAAAAGCTTCATCACCTTGTTTCCAGCACAAAATGCAGCAACAGTATAAATATTTCTAACAGCATCCTCCAAGACCAAAGAAGCCTTCGTATGCATCTCCTGGATACCCTTTGACAATCCAGCAAGCCACAATTTCTAAAAGATTATGGTGCAAACTCTGTTAATTTTGAGAGCTAAAATTGGAGTTAATAAAAATGCTCATTATAGGAGTGTAAATATCATGGTGACTTTTGATTGCTCAACCTAAGATCTATGAAATTTATCATGAAGTTGCTCTTAAATCTTTTAAATATAACTTCTAACATCTTGACCACCAAGCTCCATTTTCATGAAATTTCAATGAGCTCCATCCGAAATATATATTCTTTAAAAGTAACTGAAAAAATAAAAGACAAATAAGATAATAAATAAAATAAATATTGCTATTTATATTATACCATGTGTAATGCACGGATATCAATGCTAGTTCTATCCAACAAAAGATATCTTAGGTATCAACTGTAGATAGAGTCCTAACCCTAATTACAACCCTAACGAATATTCTAAGCAAATGGGCAGACAAAAACAATTACTAAAATAAATGAAACAACAATTTATCTCTAACATAAACACAGACGAACAAACACATTTATTTAAAAATTAGTTGACAACTGATAAGTTATCTTATAACTTATGACTTATGGCTGAAAGGCTAGCTAATATGATAAAAGTGTTTGATAAGTTAGCTGAAAAATTAGCTGGAATACAAAAATTCAACTAGCTTATTTGATAGCTATATAAAAAGAAACTTATCAAATAAGCTCGAGCTTTCTTAAAAAACTTGTCTTACCAAACGAGACTTATTTGAATACAGGGAGCTTATAAGTTAACCAAATAAGGTATAAACCAAACATAGTCTAAACTTATTCCTTAAAATTTTTTTATAATTTTATTTAAATATAATTATTTATATTTAAACATTTTATTATTGGTTTTCTAATATGCATTTCTATAATTAATTATCATGCAAATAAAACAACTAATTAATTGACATAATTAATTTCTATGAAAAATAAACAACTAATTAATTATCATTCATATTAGACAGGACATCCCATAAATAAATATTATGCATATCAGATACATAATATGAAATAAAATAAATAAATATGATGCATAAATATTAAATAATCAGTAGCAATAAATATGAAAATAATTCAGCTATTATGGGCATTAATAATAATCCAAAAAAGATATGAAAACTGACAATACAGTCCATATTGGAACTGACGTCTGACGTTCTTATCAGTCGAAGACTTCTCACCTGTCACATATCACACGTGCATAAATTCTCCGGGGAAAAAAAACACAACCTCCTTGCCAAAAAACTAGTCCGTAACTGATCAATCTCGTCTGGAAAAAAAGTCTAGCATAAGAACGTGCAACTAGAGAAATTGCGTGTGATTGATGTAATTATGAAGTAAATCTATCTCATTAACAACTACAAACATAGATATTTCATTAAGTGATATTGATTTAATTAAATGAATTTTAAACTTAAATATAATTAAGAAGGCTCCATATAACATCAGAGATGTAAAGGACTATGAATAAAAATATGAAATATCAAACTTATGAGTTTAATATTTATTTAATTATTACTATTAACTTATCTGTAGATATGTTTTTTTAGAAGCATGATATGTAATCATAAAGGTTTTAGTTAAAAAATATCTATTTTATTGTCTAACTAGTCATGGCCCATGTGATGCACGAGATGATATATTTTACTGGAGTGTTTAACATCTTCAATATTTAAATTAATAGTATATATATATATATATATATATATATATATATATATATATGAGCGGGTCGCAAACAAAATAAAAAAAATTATAAATTATTGAACACTTCCTTGTACACTATATTTTTTTGTTTGATTTGTTGGTAAGTTGTCATCACCAAACCACTTCGGTTGGTGACATGGGAGATAACAACATAGAATTGATCGACTGAAACTGGCTTTTTAAGAAATAATTCGACATGCGATAACAATTGTCCATGAAAAATACAGGAAAATGCAACACACATTAATTAAACATACAATAGACTTAAAATTTTCAAAATGTTCTTGTATTTGACATCAAATTTGTTTTCAAATACACATACAACCATATGTTTCAAATATGGTTTATCGATACAAAAAACTGACTTGAAAAAACTCCACACAAGAAACATTTTGATATTTTGAAAAGATTGAAATAAATAAAATATCAGACTAATAATTATGGAAGAAGTGCACTAAACGGTTGAGTCATGAATTATTTGTATAGATAAGATTTTATCAATGAGTTGGCGTTTATTGTAGAATAGGATTTTTTTTTTATTTTGTATTTTGCATATTTGATGATTAACACTACTGTGATATGTAAAATCTTTTAAGTGCGATTTGTTTTAATTTTTTGTAGATGTATTGTACAAATTAGGTAACAAAAAATTCGTTGAAATTTGAATGGTATATCTTAATTCAATTTAATTTCCTTTACTTGGTAATTGGAATTAATAAAACACAACCATATTTTTAACAAAGTACCAAAAAAAAAAAAAAATCTAATTTAACTCAACATACTATCTTCAGTAAAATTTAAAAGTACCAATCAATCAACATCATACATCACATCAACTTTAATTCACGATTTATCCACTCATTTTAATTACTCATCACTTTCAATCACATCTCTCATTTTTTTACATCAAATCAATTTTAATTATTATATTTTAAATATTATTTAATTACATCTCAAAATCCCCCTAAATTATCCACTCAATCTACATGATTCAAAATAACTCACTTTAACTCATGATCAAATCAAAACTTGTTTTTATCCGTAATCAATTGCGTCATAAACAATTATGAATTTTGTTTTGTATGATGAGGTCTTTGACTGAGCTGGGGAAGAGGAAGTCGGTATACAACAGAACTAGAAAAAAGGTAAGGAGAAGAGAAATACACAACGAGAGTAGATTGAAATAGTGACAGTCACTTGCTCTTGGCTGCGGATGGAGGCGGAGGATGGACGACACTAGCACTGTGGTCGGTGGATGGCTGGCATAATGGTCGGCAAACGAAGACAATTGCTGTAAAAATGGAGGTCGCAAAAAACCTTCGACGGGCACCACACGATGGACGAAGGTGGAGTCGTCGATGTGGTCAGGTCGTCCACTAGTTCGTATGCACTCGCAACTGTCCACCATCATAGCCAAGGATAAAATAGTCCTTTTTCACTTTTGGAACTATGCAGATCAAACAATCTCACCTACCACCCCGAGATTCTTTTATCTTGAGTATGCAAGATAAATTGGATTTTAATCTCAAGTCAAATCATGTCTTGCGAGTCGTAATCTAGGACAACAAAATTAATATTCATATAAGATTGCAGCCTAATCTTATCCCATCATAGCTATCAAATGAGGCCAGTGTCTGTGTTGTGTTGGAACCCATGAGGATCTCGATATGCACAAATCACAGAAAAACATTCAACATAAACCTATGCGCAGCGGATCTAAAGGTTTGATGAAGAAAACTTACTGCTTAAAATTTATGTAGATCTGGCTGGCCCGAACAGTTAACCGCAAATCAAATCTTCTCGGAATCGAACAAACTTGACCAATCCGGAAAGCTGACGTCACGGCGAAGTCAACGGCCTTGACCGATCGGAAAACGAAGCTTCCACGCGCTCTCACGCGCGCGAGTGACTCCCAGCAGCAGCGAACTCCCGGCGGCACGTGTGGGCGCGTGCGGCGGCGGCGTGCGGCGGCGATCTCGACGGCGATCTCTTCGTCTCGTCGTCCTGGTCGTCGTGGTATGGTCACTTGCTGGTTTTGGTCTCCGGTTTGGATGTATGATTGGAATCTCTATATACATTAAGATCTTCTACTGTATTCTCAAACAACTTTCTAGATCTTGTATCAGTGGAGCACAAGAAATAGAAGAACTCCTTGGAAGAGAGAGAAAGAGAGCTGGACGTGTTTCCCAAGGTGTGGGATTGTTCTGTTCTCTTCCATGAGCCTAATGCTGTATATATAGAGCTACAATAGGGACCCTAAGGAGAATAGGATAAGGGATTCTAATATATTAATACTGTGGAGCAACCACACAATTAATATATTAATAATATTAAAGTCCACCACAATAATATTATTGCACTCCCCTCACCTATCCCAAATTACATTTGAGACTCCTTATTATAATTATCCGATTTACCTCCCCATGTTTAAGATATAATGTCCATTAATTAATTCGATCACTAATAATCAAGAATTAATTAATATATTATATTACCGAAGCTAGCGGTCGCTCATAGCATTCATATTATGCCGGAATAAATCCACCTGCAGGGTTTAGCATAATATTCCTTCATGAACTCACTTCGGGGACATCATCATACTAACGCACATGGTGACCGTAAATATCCTAATAGCACATCGAACACATAATGTTATTACCCAATTCATTAAGTATGTCGACCCGGCTTGGATCTCACCCAAAGAATCAAAGCAACAACAATTATGTGCACATGCCTATTTAATATCTTACGGGTTAAGAGCACGCAATAATTAACTGAGGCCTAGTTCGTTTACGACGATTAGTATAAAACGAACATCCCTCTCTGGGATCCTGTTCAATACATAAATGTACTAGCACAACAAATCGGTCAAGACAAACCGTACGGTTGACACTACAACCGTTCCGATGGGTTGTTCAATTCCATCTAGGTTGTGAACCAACGATTCTTGTTTTGCAAGTAACTGATATAGTGATCTTCGGTACGCCCGATGACGACCCACTTATCTACATGCAAAACAACAGAACGTGGAACTCATTTAACCAAACATAATTCTCATTCATCAAAGAATAACAAGTGTAATATCCACTAAAGCAAAGCTTAAGTATATAACACCAACATGTTGATTGTGCAAAACGCGAATTGCTATGTTTCTAGGTTCTGTTTTTTGCAATCGATAATTTTGTGTTGAGGTTTAGCCTTCTATATATAATATGAACCAAACAATTAATTGTCACAATGGCTATATTTTAATGATACCCAAGGACCAATTTGGTTTGATAAAAGTAATATGTAGCTTTGCTAACTACATTTTGATGTTATCTAAGAGTCGATTTGGTTCGATAATGCAAATTTGGTTAAATTACAGAGTCGAACCCCACCCTAATTTATATGATTCGGTTGCACTTGCACACCCTTGAGTTAAATCAATATATATAATTACTAGCTAATACATTTAATAAAATAATTAATAAAATCTATTTTCATTTCCTTCCAAAAGAGGTTACATTTTTTTTTTAATTAATTACTCACTAATTTGCTAAAACGGTTACACCTTAATATATATATTTTTATTATTTATTTTTGGATCAGTTACTAAATTAATTCTAAATTTGGTAGCAAAATATCTAAATGTGTAATGGTTAATGTTAGAACTTAAAGTTCATTGGCACATTCAGAGCTGTAACCACTATATTTGATTACATTGTTGGAAGAAAAATATGATTGACACATATTTTTTTTTTTCTTTTAAAAATCAAAAACACCAATAATTTATTTTATTTATGTTAATTATTTTAATATATGCCACAAATATATAAAATATTTTATTTATGTTATTAATGTAAACGTTGCATGGTTAAAATAAAATTTAAATCTCGATTAATTTTGAATGATAAAATTACTTACGAAAAAAGTAATAATTTTTATATGATAGAAGTACATTTTTAATTAATAAATATAAACAAAAACATCTTTTTGTATTTGTGCAAATACACATGATCAAATACTAGTTTAAATTAAATTGGACGCGAAGTCGCGAAGGTACTAAAATGCAAAATTTTAAAACCCATGGGCTTACTTTAACTAACTTCAAAGCCAAAAAAAAAAAAAAAAAAAAAAAAAAAAAAAAAAAAAAAAAAAAAAAAAAAAAAAAAAAAAATGAGGGTGCCGATTGCAATAAGAAAAAACGTGGAAATAGCTCCTGATCAGAGTTCACTGGCAATCGAGACGGAGGGAGAGAATGTTGACGCAATTCGGGGCGACAGCCGAGTCGTTGAGCAAGGCGTCCACTATGGTGTTCCGCATCGGCACGGACGCGCATCTTTACGACGATCCCGATGACGTAAGCATCGCGCCTCTCCTGGACAGCAAGTTCGACTCCGAGAAATGCGAGGCCCTCAAGCGCCTACTCGCCCTCATTGCTCAGGGTCTCGACGTCTCCAGTTACTTCCCTCAGGTCAATTTTGCTCAACAACTTTATTTTGATATGCAAATTTTGGATCTGATGAAGAGATGTGTTAGATTGAAGTATTGGATTCGGTAGTGATGTGTGCGCGCGCGATCTGTATCGATTTGATCAGTTGATTAGGTTTGTTCGCGGCTTGCCCAGTTAGCGTCATGGCTGTTGTGTTTGAACGCAGGTTGTGAAAAATGTGGCATCACAGTCGCTGGAAGTTAAGAAGCTGGTGTACTTGTACTTGCTGCATTATGCTGAAAAGTACGCAACAAAACAGACTTGACTTTTGCTCTTTCCAAATTTATTCACAGATATTTTAATTAGAATCAGTGGTCTCTTTGATTATGATTACCTTCCTGTGTTCCAGGCGGCCGAATGAGGCGTTGCTGTCCATAAACTGTTTCCAAAAGGACTTAGGGGATCCGAACCCTTTGGTGAGGGCATGGGCACTTCGTACCATGGCAGGGATTCGCCTGCATGTTATTGCACAGCTCGTTTTGGTTGCTGTGGGAAAATGTGCCAGGGATCCATCAGTATATGTCCGGAAGTGTGCTGCGACTGCATTGCCCAAGCTACATGATTTGCGCCTGGAGGAACACACTGCTGCAATTGAAGAGGTTTGCTTAGCATCTTCTGTTTCTTCCATTAGTTATTTTCCTGAAATCTCGATTATTAAACGAATGGGCGCCAATAGCTGATATTTGTGGAAGGATGGAGATTATGGTGGCTCCTAAGACTGTCATGGAGGGTGTATATGGCAGGATTACGGGCTGTCATCATTTTAAGCCATCTGCAATAGATCACATTGCTTTAAAGAAGCTGATTTCCTAAGCTTGGTATTTTCCTTTGCATAAATTTTTAAGTGCTGAACTGCTAATTGACTATGGATATGTTGCAGATTGTTGGAATGCTGTTGAAGGACAACTCTCCTGGAGTAGTTGGTGCTGCTGCAGCTTCTTTTTCTTCCATATGTCCGAATAATTTCTCTCTGATTGGAAGAAATTACAAAAGATTGTGTGAGACTCTTCTGGATGTGGAAGAATGGGGTCAAATTATCTTGATTGGGATTCTTTTACGGTATGCAATTGCGAAACATGGACTGGTTAGAGAATCCTTAATGATGTCTTTCAACACATTGAGGATGGATAACTCTAAGGAGGATTCAGAACTTAATATTACTATGAGGAACTCCATTGATGGTACCGACATTGAGATATGTCCTGAGATTATAGATGTAGTCTCTAGGAGCTACCTTGAAGGACCAGACAAATATTTATCTCAAATGGGTCATGTAACTCGAGAATCCATTGGATTGAATGGTTCATTTGTTGCATCTGCCAACAATGATGATGTGAAGATATTGTTGCAATGTACATTACCTTTATTATGGAGTTCTAACAGTGCTGTAGTGGTGGCTGCTGCTGGAGTTCACTGGATCATGGCGCCAAAAGAGGATCTTAAAAAGATAGTGAAGCCCTTGCTCTTTTTGCTGAGGTCATCCAGCTCTTCAAAATATGTGGTATGTTCTTGGAATTTGTATTGCTATTTCATCCAACATTATTCACAGAGCCTCTACAGTTCATATATTTCCTGGTATACATACACACACACACAAACAGACACACCCACACACATACTTATATATATTGCACATGAAGTTATGCTAGATATTCAGTTCTGTATTTACTCTGGTATGGTTATAGATCGAGATTGTAGTTCACATTTCGTTTTGTTATGTTTGCTGCATTGGTATGAAATGTAATTACATTGAGTTTATTGTTAAATTTTTCGCCCTATGGTACATATGAGCACTATTGTGACGGTTTTTGAATTTTAGTTCTTTTGAAATATTTTATTCTTCTTTTGATTCCTTATATAAGAAGTTAAACATAGATAATTTTAGGTGGTAAAGAAAGTTATTAATGTAATGATTTTTTTTAGAGAATATTCCTAAGTTTACTACATGGGAAATTGGTCCACTGCTAAAATTCACCTGGCAGCTAGTGTGTTATTTCTCATTAGATTGGGTGTTTCGTATTCACAAGCTCTTTTTTCTTGTATTTAACTGGCTACTAGGCTATCGTTGACAACATGAACTTCTTACGAAACTCAGTCATCTTAGCATACAATCATAGAGTTCTTTTCCTTGAAGTCTTCTGTAGTAGTTATGGTTGTAGGTTTGACGTATCTGTTTCTCAAGTTGTGGGTCAATCTCAATTAAGGTACATGCTAGCTTCACCAATGTGACAATCTTTCTTTAATTGACCATTAGAAATTGCTTCTGCTTGCAGGTCCTTTGCAACATTCAGGTGTTCGCCAAAGCAGTACCATCTTTATTTTCCCCTTATTTTGAAGATTTCTTTATCAGCTCTTCGGACTCATATCGATTGAAATCTCTGAAGCTTGAAATACTTTCCTCTATAGCCACATCCTCGTCAATGTCTTCAATTTTACTGGAGTTTCAGGTACTGCCAATTTATAGGTTGTTTATTCTTCCATTTTGAGAACACTTGGATGATTTGTTTAATTCAGTCTTTTCACAGTCTGTTAGTTCTTGCAATCCTGACTGACATGCTATCTGAACTGTTTTCCTGGCCAAGGCCATCAATAGTAGCTCAAGCAGTAAAACCATTCAATTTGCAACTAATTGGCAAGTGCTTGTTCATAATCAATTAATCATTGATTTTCGTGGATTTGTAAAGTCTAAGTGGTTCTTGCCATAGTGGCAGCAGCTTCTTAGGATGCAGTCTTCACCAATAATTTTCGATTACTTATTGGAGATAACCATGAAGAATAAAATGAATGTAGAAGAAAGGGAAGAAAAGGTGTTGAGACTTGGGAAAGAATGAAATGCTCACATGGGGTCTGAACCAATGATGTTTGACCTGGTCCAAGTTACTGGTTAATGAACACAGTCTTTCCAGTTGGGGTATTATAGTAAAACTGTAAAAAGTAAGCTTCGTATTTCAGAATGATTTAGAATTTAAGGAGAGAAAAAAAAGGTTGTTAGGATTGCTAGATGTTCACCGACATAGTCAGCTGGTAGGACTTATTCTGTCAATTTGCAATTTATTGAGGGATTTTGGAATTAGATTCTAGTTTTGGAGATTATTTATTTGTTTATTTCTCCAAAAGAAAGCATGGTTGGCTTAAACTATCATATTGAAATACAAATTATAAGTGCTGACCAATATTCTAATCTTAGCAGACCTTCAGACTGACTTCCCCTTCCATTCCAATCTCTACGGTGGTTTTGGTATATTTTTCTAGTTACCATGGCATATTCTATTGAGGTCATTCATTATACACTAAAATGTTTCTCTTAATACTTTAACTTTTGTTCATGCTGTCCTAGTAGGGGTAATTTATGAAATCAATATTTTTAATTTTTTCTGAAATGTCCTGGTAACTGTTGATTTTATCAAAGATTATTTTGGTCTAGATATTGTTGGATTATGTATTTTGTTGAAGGATTTTGGGATTTTCAATTTATATTGATTTTAATATTGAACAACTTTTTATTTTTATGCTTGAACTTAGAATCCTACCCCACTCATTTTCTCCATTTTGCTAAAGGATTCAGATTTGTAAGTTTAAACAAAAAAAAAAAAGAACATGGTGTTTGTTACTTCAGCATAGCTCCTCCTCACTTCAAATGGCGCTTCACCGATTCAGTTCACTCTTCCTATTAGACTCATTAGACATCCTCATGGCAACCTATGCATTAGAAAGTTTTATGTTTGGCTTCACATATGTCTGAATGTTAAGAGAAGAAATATACTACGTGGATGCAAGACATGCCCCCGGTCCCCGGAATTAGTATGCAAGATGAGTGTACTGGAGTGTGCCATGTTCGACCTGCTATGTCAAAAGTATCAATTCTGTAAATCCTAGCACATTTTGTTGTCTTCCCCTCCATTTCCATATGTCCACGTAAATTTCAATATTTCATTGTATTAATTTAGTTACCCTGCCCATTTCTAGTTTATATTTCATTGTTTACCAATACCATTCACCATGTTTGCCTGAATACTTAATGCCAACATTGTGGTCAACTCCTCTTTGTATTTGTTCATCTTGCCCTGGTAGGTAGTAATCAATGCTATTGACATTTTATATTGGTTGGAACAAGGTCTTGTTGGGAATTGGTATTTTCAAGATTGGTATAAATATTTTTGGATTATTTTCGTTAAGTGAAGCTTATCTTTCAACTAAATCTTAGGATTATATTAGAGATCCAGACAGAAAGTTTGCCGCTGATACTGTTGCTGCAATCGGTTTATGTGCACAAAGATTACCTGATGTTTCCACAACATGTATGGAAGGGCTATTGTTTCTGGCTCTTTCTGGTAATTGTCATTCTTTCTATTTTGTGACAAATGTGTGCTTTTCATTTGATTTCCTTTTCTGCTGTCTTATTTATCCATCGGTGAACAAATTTCAGAACCTTCGAATAAAGATGCTGCATCTTTTGGCGAAGAAGAAATTGTATTAGTTCAAGTTATTAGGTCTCTAATGGCAATCATAAAACAAGACCCCTCCAGTCACGAGAAAGTAAGTTTGGAGTCTCTTCTTTACTGGTCAATATTTGTACTCTGATTTACAAATATTACTTCAGTCCCAATCATTTACATTGATTGATGTTCGAAGGATCAGAATATTATTTGCTAAACAAATAATTAGCGGACAGTTAGAATGGGATGCAATTGTTTTATAGTCATATCATGTCCATGTACCCCAGAATGTGTGGAAATCCTTTTTCTACAAATTCACATTCTTATACCGGTGGATTTTATTGATGCATACCCTTAGATTCATGCTTTTCGATGCTCTTGATTATAATTCTTCCTACTACCATCACCGACAATAGATGATGCTAATGGTAATTCAATTTTCAGTTGAAGCCTTGAAGGTACGTCATCAAGCATTCTCCATGTCTTGGACTAATTGAGTCAAAACACTCACGATGTTATTCTTACAAATTGAAGCTTTTATGTGACCTAATTTTGATGAATAATGAAGGGAATTAAATTACATCAGCGACAATACAAGGTCCATACCATTTATAGAACTAATTATCAATGTGTCATTTTAGAATTCTGGAGCCCTGTCCTCTGTGTCCTCTTTGTAGTACTGTATTTCCTGGTTTAATCATTGCAGGGTGAATACTTGTATTTACTGAATGCCAGCTTTTATAATCTTAACGTTGGAATCGGGATAAGATATTTTATTACTGTAAGATATTTTATTACAGCTGCCTGCTACTAAGAAGACGAATTGTACCCTTCCTATGAGAAAAATTGAGGGTTATACTGCCAAATAGGGAGCTTTTCTGCTGGGCATGTTAAAGCTTTTTAACCGTAGATGCTCCATGATGCCAAGGCCCCAACCTGAGTGGCTAAGCCAGTTCAATTACTCCCTTTTACCTGATCTTACACCATTCTTTTAGTTGAGGTCATTGGTTTCTGTGTTTCACTTTCTTGCAAAAGAATAGATGAGTTTCTGTATGTCTATCTAGATTGCTTTCCTTTATCTTTCATAATAGGTTCTCATATCAATACCTTTCAAGTATTGCATTTATATGAGTTGGTGACCATGCTGGTTCTACCTTAAATCATCATACCGTCAAACATGCACTCACAACACGAACGCTTTTATACGAGTAAGTCTGCATCTCAAGCTTCCATTATTTGAAGGTTATCGTTCATTTGGTTCGAAGCTTGGATTCAATGTGTGCACCCGCAGCACGTGCAATGATTGTATGGATGATGGGTGAATACTGCAACATTGGGAGCCTCATGTCAAAGATGATACCCACAGTATTGAAGTATCTGGCACACCGCTTTTCTTTAGAGGCGGTTGATACAAAGTTGCAGATTATTAATTCCTGTGTCAAGGTAGGTAACAGAAGTTGGTTATTTGCTTTTTTTTTTTCACTTAATACTTTGATTTGGATGTGCATGGGCATATTGGTATCCGCTGAATACCATTAATATCAAATATGGCTATCTAGAAACCTCTCTCTTGATGAGCTTGAATTTATCAAGAAAAGATAGTAGCTGACTATGATCATCATTAAGCAGATTGAGTAACAGTATGCTTGTAATTGAAAGGGCTGTTGAAAGCCCACATGCATATAACCACCATTTAATTAAGATCATTTTGTTGGCATGGAGAGTTTTCCGCCTTAGAATATCCTATTTTTACCATCTCTTGCAAGCTACAATTCTGACATAGAAACCTTCTAAATTACTAGTGATTTGAATTCTGAATTGTATTTGGTATTCGCTCTACGAGTTAATGTCTGCATTTTCTTGTTCTCGGTTCATGTCATACATGGCTTTAGCATTTGTTTCTAATCTCTTGTTACTTTTTTATATGAAGATGACCACAAATGCATGTATGGTTTGTTCAGTATAATATATGATAAAAGAGCCATTATTGATGCTTGAAGAATGGAGTGCGCTATTTTCCCATTTCTTGATGATTTTATGATCTATTTTCATCTCTTCCACAGATCCTATTACATGCCAATGTAGAGGATATGTCTGAACTACGAATAACTGTCCGGTATGTGCTTGAACTAGCCAACTGTGACTCAAAATATGATGTCCGTGATCGTGCTCATGTTCTGAAGAATTTTCTATCACATTGTGCTGGATTGCATGATTCTGAAGTAAACGACACAACAGAATTCAAAGACCTGACATATGTACTTGCTCAATACATATTTGGGGGACAAATAAAAGTGCCATCTGAACCTTTCAGTTACAGATTTTATCTTCCGGGGTCTCTCTCGCAGGTTGTACTTCATGCAGCTCCAGGATATGAACCTCTCCCAGAACCTTGTAGTAGTGTTGATGATGGAAATGGCCATTCCCCAAGTCGTAGAGAGGGACATAGAACTTTTGATAGTAACATTAGTGATTCTGAATCAGTGTCTGGATCTCTGGATGAAGAAAACACTTCTGACTACAGTGCTCAAGGTTCTGCTTCTGGTTCAAGTAATGGTGACAGCAGCTATGATCGTGCATCTGATAGCGATGAAATAGAAGAAGATGGTGCATTAATTCATCTTTCAGATGGCGCTCCTGCATCTAGTAATAATAACGAAGGCTTGGTAGATAATAATTCCTCTAGCTTGATGGATTTGGGGGAATTAATGCCCAAAAGATCTTTCGAGTCATGGTTGAATGAAAGTCCTGGTTCAAGCCAGAATCCATCTGCTGTAGATCAGGTCAACAGATCATTGGCTAGAATCTCAATTAAGGACATCGGTCATCTGGTTAAACCCACGTCATATACACTTATAGATCCTTCAAATGGAAATGGGTTAAGTGTGGATTATACATTTTCAACAGAGGTGTCAAGCTCATCTCCTCAACTGGTATGCTTACAAGTTTCCTTTAGGAACTGTTCTGCAGAGCATATGTCAAATATATTGCTGTCTGAAGAGGAACCTAATCAAGCTTCTGATTCTTCGGAATCTGTGGTATCAAGTGAAAGGTACATGTTGCTGCTTTTTGACTATGCTCAATATGTTGACCTGTAATTGCAATATGCACCTCATGCATTTACTATTTAGGGCAATAGTCTATTCAAACTACAGGTTATTCAGTAATATCCATGTTGCATGGCTGTTAAAATTACTTCATATCCTTAGAACCTGAGATCTCTCATAATATTTTTTGTATTAAATTAAGTTGACCCTAGCAACGGCTAAATTTTTGTACATGAGAGTTAACAACAATTTTTTTATTTCTTTTCATTTGCCACAAATTTTAGGTACTGTTCCTGAGATTTATTTGTGTTGTAATTAAACTACTAACTGCATCTGCAACGCTTTCCTCGTGAAAAAAAAAAAAACAAAAAAGGCTTTGTGGAAATATATATATGCAATGAGTTAATTGATTTATTGCGAATGACTGTCACCTTAGTGAAAAACCAAAAACCCACATAATAGCCTCCATGAGTTGAAAAAGAGAAGTTGGCTACTTTGTTCAAATGAGTTTAAACAGACTGCAGTCTCAGTGCTTAGTTTTCTGAATTTGGACCTCTGTCTTCAGTTCTTCGTATTGCTTATCTAGCATATGCTTTCACAATTTAATTTTGGTTCTTTTTCTCATGTTTCACCATCATTTTAGCCATCTGCTTACTCTTAGAGACCCACGTCCCCCACCTCTCAGATACCATTGATGTGATACTATTTTTCTTTCGAGATGATGACAAAACTTCTATTTTCCACTTTATTTACTATCAAGTCCAAGCTTTTTTACCACATGATTGCCCAGTGGTCCCTAAGACAAACATTGATGCTTTTTAATTTTGCTCTGCAGTATTTCAGTCTCTCATGCTGCAGTGCCAACTCTGGTACCCATGGATGAGATAGGGAGTCTGGGTCCTGGTCAGACAATGAACAGAAAACTCCAGGTTCACTTTGAACATCATCTGTTGCCTTTAAAGCTGGTTTTATGGTGTAACGGCAGAAAGCAAGCTGTTAAGTTACGACCAGACATTGGTTACTTTATCAAACCTATTCCAATGAATATTGAAATATTTACAAAGAAGGAGTCTCAACTTCGAGGAATGTTTGAGTATATGAGAAGGTCAGTTAATTTGAACATTTGAGTTTCAACTTCCAGTGGTATATGTTAACTACACGTCATATATGAATATAATTGATGCATTTTCCAGTACGCCAGTCTTGAACAAGCTTTCTCTCAGAGCAAATCTCCTTTGCATCAGTTATCCATTTTCGTGTTAATCCTCAGAAGATTAATACTAGCTCTTCTTCAGTTTTAGATCTGTGCACCTCCCTAATATCATAATTCCTTGAAATATTAAAACTATTTAAATAAATAGCCTTGTTTTTTTTTTTCTTT